CGGAAATGTTGTTAAAACTCATAAACAATGGATTACTCACTGGTCGTGAATATCGCAATAATATCGCCAAAACACTTGACGGTAATAGTTATAAGAAAACATAATCATGTAGTTACACACACACACACACACAAAATGTAAAGTAAAGTTATACACACATATATATAATTATATAAAACATAGATAAAACGAACTATCAATTACACAAAACCAATATTACACAGTAATGAAATCAATACATCAAATCAATACATTAACTATAATAAGTTCATAAGTATAAGTATACACAAATGAAATCACCACATAAAATTTTAACATGTATTGTGAGGTAAAATAGGAAATCAAAAAATATGCCGCTACTGACGCTTGTGCACCTCTATGCTTGAAAATACCAAATCAGTTAGAGTCTGCGCATGATCTTACAACATAATTTAATATAGAATATGCAATGTATGTGGGGGGGGTTGGTGGTTAGGTTGCCTGGTGTTATATCGATGAGTAGCAAAATTTCTTTATCGGCGATATTACCCAATTATCGTTCACGATATAAGATTCATGGTTTGGATGAGACAAGAGATGAAGTCTGCGTTTGACAATGTTATTGCACTTATCGTTCGTGCTTTAGAAATAACGCTACTGCATAATAAGTTAAATCCCTGACTTAATATATTTGCGTGTTTTATATAGTAATGCTGCTGTAGTACTGTAGTACGGCTGGAAAGAATAAAACAGAATAATAAAAAATATACGAAGACTAAAATGACGAGGTGCCATGAACTCTCAGTGTTTGATACAATACTGTTCCTACAGTACTCCTCATATGCTGCGCATGCGACTGATTAGACATAGGGCGTTGTTGTTTGTGTGTAGGAGTGGTTTATGACAGAAATATCATTAGTAGTTGATCTAATTACTGATTTGAGCTCGTTGCAAGGCATCAGCAACCTGGTAGGCGTGCACTCCCACCAAGACACTTAGTTGTTTGACGCGAATTGAGTCCCGTTTATCTAAACTGTTCTCATTCAGCGAAAGTCGAATGAGCGGCTTTCTGGATGGAGTGTCCCGGCAATAACCTTGCTAAGAGTATGAGGTCACTCGATCTAAAGTCATTGTCGGACGATGCTTGCTCCTGTAGGTTTTCATCGTCTGAATCCTCGGTAGAGCTATTCGTGGATGAGGGTGCCGCCGGGTAGGCGCGCGTTGCTAATCGCAATGGCTGCTTTCTCACAGGTTTCTCCTGTGGCTGCTGCTCTTGTTGTTACTGGTCTTCCTTATTGGGCTGATCCCAACGCAAATATAGATGAGCTGCTCGAAGGTTGTCGACATGCGCTGTTATCTCGCGTCTTGTTGTCTCATGTTGCAGCAAACATTTCTTAGGCGTTATTACTTTAGTAACGGTGAAATGTAGTTTCACCCATGGGTGCCTAGTGGGTGGTGCAGTGAAGGCTAATCGTTCACATTTTCTATAAATGGGGTTGTCGTGACCACTGCCCAGTCTCGCGCCACTAACGAGGCGAGCGATGGTTAGGTTGGCCCGAGGCGCGTCCCTGAGAGCGCATATGACAATCCGTCCATAACTTTTTCAGTTAGGCTGTACACAAAGAAACCCACAAACCAACAAACACACGCCGGTGAAAACATAACCTCCTGCCAACCCCTTGGCGGAGGTAATAATAATAATAATAATAATAACAATCATAATAATACTAATGATGATGATCATGATGATGACGATGACGACAATAATGATGAGGATAATAATAACAATAATAATAATAATAATAAGAAGAAGAAGAAGAAGAAGAAGAAGAAGAAGAATTAATGATGATGATGATGATGATGATGATGATGATGATGATGATGATGATGGTGATGGTGGTGGTGGTGGTGGTGGTGGTGACGACGACGACGACGACGACAACGATGATGATGATGATGATGATGATGATGATGATGATGACGATAATAATAATAATTGATGATAATGATCCAGTGCCTCCCAATGTTTCACCTCTCCCAGGATTTCTCTTCCTTCCCCGCCCAACTTCGCCCAATGTCCCACGATTCTGATTACATCTCCGCCTCCCCCCCACCTGGCTTCCCTCAGTGTCCCACCTCTCCTGTTACCTCTCCCCTTCCCTCCACCTAGCTTCCCTCAGTGTCCCACCTCTCCTGTTACCTCTCAGCCTCCCCCCACCTGGCTTCACTCAGTGTCCCACCTCTCCTGTTACCTCTCCCCCTCCCCCCCACCTGGCTTCCCTCAGTGTCCCATCTCTCCTGTTACCTCTCCCCCTCCCCCACCTGGCTCCCCTCAGTGTCCCACCTCTCCTGTTACCTCTCCCCCTTCCCCCACCTGGCTTCCCTCAGTGTCCCACCTCTCCTGTTACTTCTCCCCTTCCCCCACCTGGCTTCTCTCCGTCTCCCACCTCTCCTGTTACCTCTCCTCCTTCCCCCAACTAGCTTTCTCTAATAACACTCTACTCCCATTACATCTCCGTCTCCCCCACCTGGCTTCCCTCAGTGTCCCACCTCTCCTGTTACCTCTCCCCTCCCCCCACCTAGCTTTCCTCAGTGTCGCACCTCTCTTGTTACCTCTCCCCTCCCCCCACCTAGCTTTCCTCAGTGTCCCACCTCTCATGTTACCTCTCCCCCTCCCCCCACCTGGCTTCCCTCAGTGTCCCACCTCTCCTGTTACCTCTCCCCCTCCTCCCCCTGGCTTTCCTCAGTGTCCCACCTCTCCCATTACATCTCAGCCTCCCCCCACCTGGCTTCCCTTAGTGTCCCACCTCTTCTGTTACCTTTCCCCCTCCCCCACCTAGCTTCACTCAGTGTCCCACCTCTCCTGTTACCTCCCCTCCTTCCCCACGCAACACGGCTTCCCTCAGCGTCCCACCTCTCCTGTTACCTCTCCCCCTCCCCCCACCTGGCTTCCCTCAGTGTCCCACCTCTCCTGTTACTTCTCCCCTTCCCC